CGCTCAGTTTGATTTTGGGAGTATTATTATTCTCTGTCTGCAGTTTTTAAGTAAGTGGATTTGATTTGAATGGTTCAAATTCAAAAGTCATAATATTTTGTTTTTTAATTGGTAAAAAAGAAAGTTGCATTTTCTTATAATTATTCGGTTTTTTTTTTTTTTTTTTTTTTGGATTTTTAATTTTGTATATGTATAATGAATGTTTTGTGTTAATCTACATGATTTTTACCACTAGCGCAAAGCCTTGTTGCTTCCTAATTATCATTTATCTGCGGAGTTTTATTTATTTAAATTTGAATTTTATTTTAGTATTGACTCTGTCCGACATCTCTCTTGTTCAATTAGCACAGAGAATTCTTCAAAAAAAAAAAAAAAAAAAAAATTAGCACAAAGAAATGTATTTGTGTTTAGTATGGATTTCCTAGGCTGACCGGTGAAAATTAACCGATGGGTTTGATGAACATGCCTTCGAAAACCCCGCGCGGGCACCTCTGTAATATCGAAAAATCAGGGATTATACGTGAGCTTGTAAATAGGTTTTCTACTACTACTTGGCACCAATACATTTCATAAATTTTTGGGATGAGCATGAGCTTGTGGTAGGTCTTTTTGAACCACACTACCTCATTAGTTGCCTTCATCAATAAAATGTTCAAAATTCGATAAATGTCTTATTTCAAATTAAATGAAAAGAAAAAAAAAACTCAAATCTCATAAATGATCATGCTACAAATTGAAGTTTCTTAAAATCAATAACTAATAAATATATAATATATATAACAAAATGATATAAATATATATAAATAAAATAATGTCTACGGGGCGGGGCTACGTGGTAGGCACACTCGTTCCCATATTTTTTCGGATCGGGGAATACCACTAGTTTCAGGTCGAGTTGGGACGGGGACCAATATATAGGGTCAAATTGCCATCCTTAGCCTATAATACTAGGGGTGGGTTTGGTAGGGCAACCGTACCAAACCACTCGAATCACTACCATTACTAAAATTTTGGTATTATGGAATCCATTATCATTGCCCTACCAAAAACTTTGGTATACTGATTTCGGCATACCGAAATTTCGGTACGGTATGTTATGGTAATGGTAATGGTAATTACCAATCTATGTTATCTACTATTTAAATCTAAATTGAATATCAATTTTTTCAAAGCAATTCAAGGTATATACATGATTAAAATGTTCAAAACTAGTATTTATGATATAAGTATTCTAAATATATGTTCTTAATTTACCTAATATGAAATATTTCGTAAATAAAATTATAACATAAAAACTTTGAACATCAGTTATATCATTATTAATGAAAACAATTTAAAATATTTTTGACATACCTAAAGAATATAATTAATTTTAACTAATAGTAGTTAGTTAGGATACTATGTTCACTTTTGATTATAATAAATTAAATATTGAAATAAAATTTTATTATTAATAATATTTCGGTACAGTAGGGCAGTACCATTTTCATAATATTGAGTGCCGTTGTCCTACCAAAACATTTTGGTAGAGAATTGGTAGGGCTCGGTAGGGCAATGGATTGGTAATGCAATTTGGTAAAAGAAAACCATCCCTATATAATACCATACAAAGAGAATCATTAAGTGCAAACAAGCCCGAAAAGAATAGAGAGTTTATATATCTACCCCGTTTAATTTAAAAAAATGAAATTCAATGCAACATATATATATAATATAATTCCGAAATGCTAATTATTGTTTCAATTGTATTAACTAGCATTTTTTCCCCGTGCGATGCACGGGATATTATTTCAAAAGTCAAAAGATAATCAATTTAATACATAAAAAGAAAATATCGTACACTAACATAGTAAAATTTAATAATGTAGTATTGTTCATATTTTATATAACATTGGTTCTTTTTTAAATCTGACGTATTAAGATTTTTTATCCAAACTTTAGATTAAGATTTTGAAAAATCGAATTTCTATCTTTATCTCTTAAGATTTGAGATATATCGATGAAAAATCGGAGATTGATAATTATTAAAAATTATGGTTAGAAATTAGTGGAGAAAATATATTAAAAATAAATAATTACAGAAATACCATTAGAGTTTTTTAGGGTTGCCCAACGTTTCTTTCTTTTATATATAAGATATAAGATACCGTTCGTAATCTCTCTCTAGCCATCTTCCTCCCTCACTTATTCTCCACTCTAAATCTGCATACCATAATCAATCAAGTTTGAAGGTAATTATTTCATCTTGTTCAATAAATTTCAATATTTTCTACTTTTTTTGAATGATTGTTGGTTAATTGTGTGCAAAATATTTTTTTTCTTCGTGTACTAGCGAGCCACTATCACCCACACTTAATCAAGTGTTAACAACCTCCGAAATCAAGCGATAACTACTTCCATCCACATCCAGTATGTGTGTTACTTAGGGCGGGTGAAAGTCGGATGAATCGGACCGAAATTAACCTTTTTGGAAAATTTCCAAAAAAATTGGAAGTACAAAATTAATTTCAATTCCAATTTCAAAATTTTCGGAATCTAAAAATTCATTCTAATTCCAAAAGGCCCGTAAATTTCAGAATTTCGGAAAAATTGGAAATCATATAAGTTTTAAAATTTCAAAACTTAGCAGAAATTTCTGAAATTTTCTTAATTTTTCAAAAATAAGAACATCCACTTCGATAAAAGTAAAACTAATAACTACTAATTTCAGTTAAAAAATAAACAAAAATAAACACATCAATATCCAATAAAACTTCTAATAATAATTAAGTATGTCAAAATCCAAAAACAAAACTTCAATCAAATTACTATTTCAGAAAATAAATAAAAACTTAAAATAAGTATTATATAATATATATTATTTATAGGTGTATTTTTCGGGAAAAAAAACGGAAATTTTCGGAATTAATGTCGGAAATTAATCGGATCGGAAATTGGAAATTCCAAATTTATTTATATAATTCCAATCCAAAAAAATCGGAAAAATTCGAAAATCAAAATTTCAGAAGTCGGAATGAAAAAAGTTGGTCTAAAATCGGAACTTTTCATATCGGAACCGACGGAAATTGGAATTTCCGTTCCAACTTGCACCCCTAGTGTTACCCTTCCATCTCACGCCTATGTTGGGCGTGAGTCTTCTTTCTTTTATTTTCTTTTCTTTTTTAGTGTCTAATTCCCCATCTCATGCCTAGATTGGGTTTTTTTTGTTTAATTGTTTAAATTTTAGAAAAATGTATATATATTTGCTTATGACTTTCTTAAAGAACATTTGATAGATTAAATTAGTGTTAAACATACATGATGTTGGCTAAGAGAATTTTTGTTTCAAAGAGAGTAGAAATAATTTTCTTAGAATTAGAACGGTATGATTAGTAATTTTGAATTGGCAAATAGCACCACCCAATATAATATTAGTTGAAATTTGAAAATATGCTTATTCGGTAGGTACAACAACTACTTGTCTTTTAAAATCAATTAAATAAGTTTTTATCCTCCAAAACAAGCCCCAAGTATCAAGTAATAAATTCATGGTGCTTTCGAAAAGCTTTTGAAAAGAGATTATGATATTTTTTTTGGCTCATAATCATTTTTCTTATGTCTGCAAATGTAGCTTTAATTTTGCTTTTGTTTTTAATTGTTTTAAAATAAGTTGATACGACATAATTTTAAAAGTATATGTGCAACAACCTTTTTTTTATATATAACTTAAATCTCCATTAGACATTTGAGTGCTTGTTATATTTATGTATAAATCAATTTTTTAAGGACATCTAAGATAATTTATCAAAAACTGCGACTTAAAAGTTTCTTTTACAAACACATCAACTTATAATTTATTTACTTTTGATAAGAACATCAACTTATAAATTAACCGCTTAAATTTACATGCATTAACTTTTATGAATAACCAATTATTTCAAATTTTACTTACAATCACCGACTTCTATTTTTGTAGTAAGCCTTTGGAAACACCCAATAAATATCCTACACTAGTAGCTTATTACTTGAGCTGTTTGATCGTCAAAAAAATATTATTAAGAATTTGATGTTTCACTAACACCAAGTCTCGACGTCCTAATAAATATCTGCAACGCGAGTCACGATATATAGTCCAATGAAAGTGTCCGATATGGGCTCATCACAAACTAAGTCGATAAAATTTTATTAGACTGAGCTAAATGAACTATACGTCAAGTCGAGTTAAACCAGTAAAACTCTACACATATTTAAAAAAGAAAAAAAAAAATTCTAGCATCTAATTAATCTTCACTCAAAGAATAATTAATAGCAAAATGTTTTAATCATAATATATATATATATATATATATATATATATATATATATATTAAATGATGTATATTAGTGTAATTAAGCATGAAGCATAGCAGTTATAATTTTGATTTAGCAGAATATATAGCAGATGATGATGCATGCTGATGTGCTCAAGCACGAGACAATAAAAAGTGATTACGTGATGAGTCATGCTATTGCTAGCTTATGACTTATTTTGTGTGGAATTAATTAATAATCCAAAAGCTACTGCTTATCAACTTATTATTGGTCTTCTATGTGAGCTAAGCACATAGTTAAGTATGAGTATACATTTATATATTAATACAAAACACACAACTTTATTTTTTTCTGTTCATATATAATTTATTTGAGTGGGATGGGGGTGTTACAATTAGGGTGGGTGATCTTTAATTTTTTCAATTAGTCTTTATATAATTCGAATAATGCAATAGTTTATTCCTTCTACACATTCAAACATAAATTGTTGATTTTGAGTTGGAGACTGCCACTCATAAATTGTTATAATGTCATCACTTTTGTTTTTGTGTTTTGTTTTTTGTTGTGTTTTTGGTTTTTTTTTTGGTAATGAAGGCACCTCAACTATATAGATGCACACAGGACAACAAAATTAACTATGTGTGACAAACTGCACATAGCGACTATTGACACCGAGATTTGAACATGCTAATTTACTTCAACCACTAGGTTATTATTTTGCGGGAAAATGTCAGCACTCTCTTCTTCATGGAAAGTGATTCATCTGTAAAGTCGTTGGGTGATATATATTTTGTTGGAGATATTGATATTAAATAATACATTTTAGTAAAATAGATAAATTAGTCTTAGTTAACAAAATTATAACCTAAGATATTATATACGATTTGTCTATAGCATATCTCAGTTAACAAGATTAACATATGATAGTAGGTTTACAATATTGTTTTTCTGTCAAGGAATGCGCTAGTGGTTGGAGCAAGTCAATTTGTGTTAATTGACCCATGTTCGAATCTCTTACCCAACATGGTTAGAATAACGTATTTACATCTCTCGTATAGTTGAGAGTGTAAGTTTACCGATGCATCTATTAAATTGTATTTTTGTATTTTTTTAATAATGCTTCAACTTTTGATGGGTAATTTGTTAAAAATACAAATTTTGTTACATGATATTTACTAAATTGATATATAAATTTCGTAATATAATTTTAAGATTATCCTACATTCTTACAATCTAACTTGTCCAGAAATTAGAATTTTTCATTATTACTAATTTCTTGCTGATCAAGATCATCAATTGGCATATTCCCCAAAGATCTTATTTTTTAAATATATATATATATTATATAAATAAATAAGAAAAAAAAAAAAGAAGAAAAGAAAAAAAAAAAAGAGTGTCACGTGGATGATCACGTGTCCCCCTTTCCTCGATGTTGAAAAAAATAGTATATATAAGTGCTCCACCAATCTCAGTCTCCCTATTCGATTCTACTTGTTTCTTCAGAAATCTATACTCACAAAACAACAAGCGGTACGCTTCTTCTCATTCCTCCTCTACGTGTATTAGTATAGATCGATGTATATATGTATTTAATTTGTAGTTTTGAACGCCCTTAGATCTGATACAGTTTGTGTTTTCTGATAAAAGATTTGATTTTTTTTTTTTTTGAAATACTGATAGGCAAAAGAAAAGAAAGAAAAGGAAAAGGAGATGGGTAGCTCTGGATTTTCATGGAAATTGAAGGATCACCCAAAGCTGGCAAAGGGGAAAACGATAGCAATGATTGTTTTGGATGGGTGGGGCGAAGCTAAACCCAATCAGTACAATTGCATCCATGTGGCGGAGACTCCAACCATGGATTCACTTAAGAATGTATTATTAATTTTTTTTTATTTAATTATTTTTTTGTGGGTCAAATGCATCTGATATTTAATTGGTTTTTGGATCTATGTTATCGTTTGATTTTGGTGAAGGGTGCCCCTGATAAATGGAGATTGGTGAAGGCCCATGGTAAGGCGGTGGGTCTGCCCACAGATGATGACATGGGCAATAGTGAGGTTGGTCACAATGCTCTTGGTGCTGGCAGGATTTATGCACAAGGGTGAGGGCTTCGTTGTTATCGTTTATTTCTTTGGTAATAAATTATAAATCTGTGAACTAGAGACAAGGACTTCAAACTTGGAAATTGAAATTTCTGTGATGAATTTATGTATGCCTGAGGTTGTTTAATAAACTTTCTTGTATGTGGTAGGTGCTCACAATTTGATTATACATATGAATACAAGTCTGCTGAATGCCAGTTTCTCCCTTTGGATTTCGTGTTTTTACTTATTTTATTCATTTCTCATTCCTTCTTTATAGACTTCATGTTGACAGAAAATATTAAAAAAAATCATTTTTCCTGAAGCAGCAGAAAGGTACTCTAGAGTCTCTGGTTCTTATAGATAGAAACCGAATTCTAATGTATGGTTGTTTATGCTATTTTCTTCTGAACTTGCCGTACAGAAAAATTAAATAGATAAACGAAGGAACTTTTTTTTTCCTTTTGTTGATTGGTAGACTTTCGAAGCTCATATTACTGATTTCAATCATGTAAACTAGTATATGAGCAGAATACCTATTGAAAGATTCTATTTGTTGATATATTAAGTGCAAGAATACTTGGCCGTAAAATTATAGTAGCATACACTCGGTAGAAAAGCTTTTTTCCTGGTTTAGATTGTGTCCTTAAAAGCAATCATAACATTAACCCTTCTTTTATGTGCTTTTGGTATAGTGCTAAGCTTGTTGATAGTGCTCTTGATACTGGAAAAATTTATGATGGAGAAGGTTTCAACTACATCAAGGCATCTTTTGAAAGTGGAACACTTCACCTCATCGGATTATTGAGTGACGGAGGTGTACACTCTAGGCTAAATCAGTTGCAGGTATTTGTTTCTGTTGATCAATTCAGAAGCAGCAATCACTTTTTCTTTCTTCTGTTATTTTAAAACTTTGTTGGCCCTTTTCTTTATTTGTTTTCCTGCATATGATAAAGAAACTAATTCTGCACTTCATACTATATTGGGTTTCAGTTGTTGCTTAAAGGTGCTAGTGAGCGTGGTGCTAAAAGAATCCGTGTTCACGTTCTGACGGATGGACGTGATGTTTTGGATGGAACAAGTGTGGCCTATGTTGAAACTCTTGAAGAGGATCTTGCAAAGCTACGCGAAAACGGTGTCGATGCCCAGATTGCATCTGGTGGAGGTCGCATGTATGTCACAATGGATCGATATGAAGTAAGCCCCATTCATGTTTTATATCATAAAGAATTGTTACTCTTTCTAGAAGTTTCCATTTGACAATCCTTTTTCTGCATTTTCCAGAATGATTGGGAAGTTGTAAAAAGAGGATGGGATGCACAAGTCCTCGGAGAAGCACCATACAAGTTTAAGAGTGCCGTTGAAGCTGTCAAGAAGCTGAGAGAGATTCCTAACACGAGTGATCAATACTTGCCTCCCTTTGTCATTGTTGATGATAGTGGCAAGTCTGTGGGGCCCATTGTCGACGGTGATGCTGTTGTGACTTTCAACTTCCGGGCTGATCGTATGTCCATGGTTGCCCAGGCACTTGAGTATGAGAAGTTTGATAAATTTGACCGTGTCAGATTTCCCAAGATTCGTTACGCTGGGATGCTTCAGTACGATGGCGAACTTAAACTTCCAAACCACTACCTCGTTTCTCCTCCTGAAATGGAAAGAACTTCTGGAGAGTATTTGGTCCACAACGGTGTCCGTACCTTTGCTTGCAGGTAAGTTTGGTTAAAACTTTATTATTTACCAAGTTCTATGATTGTAGCTTTTACACCCGACTAGCGTCTTTTATGGCATCATCATAACCTTAAATAATTGGTTGTGGTATGGTATTATGCAGTGAAACAGTTAAATTTGGTCATGTGACCTTTTTCTGGAACGGAAACCGGTCAGGATACTTCAACGCGGACATGGAAGAATATGTTGAAATTCCAAGCGATAGTGGTATTACCTTTAATGTCAAGCCAAAGATGAAAGCCTTGCAGATTGGTGAGAAGGCAAGAGATGCTATCCTCAGCGGCAAATTTGACCAGGTAATCCAACAACAAATATTTCGTCTTTCTGATTCCTACCCAAGTTGGAAAAATCGAAAAAAAAAAATCACTTACTTTTGTAAGAAGCATATGTTCTAACGAGTTTGTTTTTTTTTTTTTTGTACAAAAGGTACGTGTTAACCTGCCAAATAGTGACATGGTGGGACACACCGGTGATATTGACGCAACAGTTGTGGCTTGTAAGGCTGCTGATGAAGCCGTCAAGGTACTGTTAAATTATATATCCTGCGTTTGTTTCGAATTTATTTGTCCCATGGAATGTAATTGGGAGAATTATTTATTGTGTGAAATGTGTGTAGATGATACTTGATGCGATAGAGCAAGTGGGAGGAATATATGTAGTTACAGCTGATCACGGAAACGCAGAGGACATGGTTAAAAGGAACAAGAAAGGCGAACCCCTTCTTGACAAGAATGGCAACATTCAGATTCTTACTTCTCACACACTTGAACCTGTAAGTAGTATTAACAGATTTGATTGATTTCTTCGTATATATATTTACGCCCACATGTATATATATTAATTAAAAAAAAACTTTGGTTGGTTAGGTCCCGATTGCAATCGGAGGACCAGGGCTGGCAGCTGGTGTCAAGTTCAGGAAAGATGTACCGAATGGTGGGCTTGCAAATGTGGCTGCAACTGTCATGAACCTACACGGCTTCGTGGCCCCTGACGACTATGAGACGACCCTCATTGAGGTTGTTGACGTTTAGATTCTGTTCTTTTTTTCGTTTTCGTTTCAAAATTTTGCACTAGGGGGGATGGCTACAGAAAGAATACACTACACACTATCCATTCTTTCTGAATAAATACACCTTTTGCTTGCTGAGTTTTACTTTCTAGTGTAATTGAGACTATTAACTTAAGCAGCATCGAACTATTTTTCTCCTATTTCGATGGGGTTGTGATTTGTTCGACAATTCGATGATTTGAAATATAATTATCAACTCTTAGTGTCTTTCCATTCGTGACCTACTACTTCTCTTCACTATGCATTATTTTTCTTTGAGGTGCGTTCTCTGTTTTTCTCTTAATGATCTGTTTTGCTCGACTACTATACTTGATATTCCACAGCACCCGATTCTTGTTTGGACATAAAAGTAAGTAGTTTGATGAGAAGGAATATGACAAGTGACAAGAATAATTCCTCTTATGCAAAAACCACATTTGAAATATCCACACAACACATAACTGAGATGGGACATAAATTTGACAACTCCAATCAAGATTCGAGTTGTCGATACTTGTTTGTTTTCGTAGGTTATATAAAGAAAAAGGTTACATACAAAACAGACTCGAAATCCCTTAAAGTTGATTAAGCGATACTGAAAGAAGTGGCAGCGTTCTCGACAAACTTCTTAGCACCCTTAAACCATCTCTTGTCACCAGCTTGAGCCTTGCATATGTACAGCTTTCCATCCTTAACTGCAGCTGTTATGAGCTGATGTTTGCCCCCTTCGTCTCCGTCAGCTGTCCTAGTCAGCACCGACAAGAAATAGTACTGGGTCCCACCTACAACCGGTGTCGATGTCTCCAATACGTTTGCACTTGCCACCGCTCCCGACTCGAATCCACCCTATGTACCAAAACCAAATTAATTAATACTGGCTCTACATTTTTTTCCGAGCATCATCATCAATATATATGCGCTAAAGGTAGAGTGATTCGACTTACCTCTGAATCAGTTTTACCAAAGTAGGCCTGTTTGCCTAGCAGATAATCCACCTGCAAAAAAAAAAAAAACAAATTCTTGATTACAGTAATCCAAACGAAAACGTACATCGGAGATGATATATACGTAGATAATAAGAAAAAAGAAATACCTTGGAGAGGAAGTCTTCAGGGGAGCCGTAGTCGGTAATGGCTTTCTTGTCGGTGGGAGTGATGGTGACGGAGAGGTTGCTCGATGCATCAAAGTTGTCCTCGTACCTCAGAACCTGTCCTGGAAACTCCTTTTCGCTGCTCGGGTTCCACTTTGCCGGCACTTCTATCTTGAATCCTTCTCCGCTGTACGGCTTGAAGTCCGTGTTTGTTTTGGGCTTCCCAAATATATTCGCTGCGCGCATTTACATATCACCATTATCAGTATATTATTATTATTATTATTTTGTCTCAAATCATACATACAAACATACATACATATCTCATAGTCAATCATATGCCACTCCATCCAATTACTTAGAAACTCATTCTCTATTTTAATTTCATATTTATCTCCTATATAGTACTTGTTGATAGAACAAGCAACCAATTTATGTCAATCATGTGTAAATAAATAAATAAAAATAAAAAATAAAAAAAAGATTATTTTACAAAGGAAGTAATAAAAAAAGAAAAGATACCAGATTCTCCATAAGCAGCATCAGCAGGGGAGACCTTGGTGGCAACAGCAGCAGCACCGACGAGAAGAGTGAGAGCCAATCTCCTTGAAACGACGGCGTCTGATGATTCTATTGCCTCAACTTGCTGCTTCTGTGCTCTGCAGATTAGAAGCTGGTTGTTTGGCTTCAATGAAAGCAAGTTGGTGGTTGTTCTTGCTACCGGTGTAGATAGTGTTGTGTGGTGGTGCAAGAAGCATGAAGTTGATGCCATTTCTCTCTCTAAAATTTTATTTTTTTTATGATCAAACACACCCTTCCCTTCCTTCCCTTTTTGTTTTCAGGATTTTGATGAGTGTGGTGTGTGCAAGTGTGTGAATCCTAATTGTTTGATCTTTTCTTTTTTTTTTAGGATTTTTTTGAGGATTTTGTTTGGATGTTGGGATAAGGCTTTAGAGGATGCCATTGGTGCCACGTCGATTATCCCAATTGTTGTAATCTCCATGTCATACCTATTGTGGGTCCTATTTGTACAATCTTCTGTTTTTATCCTATTTTCTTGTTTTTTTTCATGTATTATAATTATAATTTGTATCCAATGAGAAAGGATTTTGTGTTTTACATATTTTTTTATTTTATTTTTTTGTAATTCGCAGCCAACCATATTAGGTACACTGGGTTACCCTATATACTCGTATAATATATTGCAAACAATACGAGACGTAAAACACACTAGACTAACCATTGTGACATGCTCCATCTAGCGATCGTTGACAAAATGAGTTAAACTTGGGTCAATTGACACAAATTCTCTTTTTTCCAACCGCTAGATCATCCGTTGTGAGACACATGTCTTAATTTTCTGAAAATTCAGATTGTGGATGACATTAATTTAATATGAACAATTAAAAAAATAAACATTTTCTCATGTGTAGCCACTTTTTTTTTTTTTTTTTTTTCTTATTAACAATTCACTAATTAAATATATGAGATTTGTACTATTTGTAACATTTTACAGTTTCACATACGAGAATTTATAAACTTTATCTTCTTGTGATCAGTCAAGTTATCATAGTTGATTTGGTAACGAAGGTATGTTTTGAACAGTGAAGAATGAACTAGGCTTGTTCTGATTATGTATAGGTGTTACCCGAAACACGCGCACAACGCTCGGATGGCAAGTAGATTTGGGTTTCGGGTTTTTCCGAAGGCATGTTAATTTATTTTTTTAAACAAAAGATTATTTTGGTCAGGTGTTAATTTTTTTTGACTTATTAGTATTTTTTGAGGAAAAATCTAATAGCTCAAGCTCAAATGGTGATTAATTAATCCAGTTCTAAGCTAACTAATTTTACGTGCAAACCATTACAGCGTTTCAAAGAAGATCGCGTAATGCCTCAATTCTGAACATACGCCTCTAATTTGTATAGGCGTTCGTTCGTTCTTCTTCCCTCTTTGCAAACTGTATTTATTGCGTTTAAATTGGAGAATCGCGGACCAATTCTACAATCAACTTTTGAGGACTTTGTCAAGACTTTGTTCTTTCTTCTTCCTTCAGTTTTGTCGATATTTTATTATTTGCTTAAGTTCTCCGTGGGTTGAATATTAGTGCGAATATTCAACAACTGATTGTTATATATTGGGAGACTAGCCGGAGAAGCATGTTGCATTGTAGACATCCCAAACATATTGTCTTAAGAACATTGTTTTTACAAGCCTCATTCGATTTATCGTTTACTTATTTCTATTTTAATTTTGAAGTAAATACAATTCTTAATTAATTATTTAAGCGAATTATTATTTGACTCCAACAAGATGAACCAGAGACATGTTCATTAATTCATCCCAAAATAGGTATTACGAAAAACTAGAATACAAGCCGGAATATAACCACCAGTTCTAAATCATATATTTATATGAATAATTACCCACTAAACCTCCCCCCCCCCCCCCCCCAAAAAACCCGACACACACATATATATATATAGATATATATATATATACATATATGAGTAAAGAGCGGGTTGCCGCTATTAACATCGATTGATTATGCACTATCAGTATCAAACAGAAAAATTAGGATCGGTTTTATTAAAACTCGATAATTATTAGTATTAGGATCTCTATCCCCCATCATTCTCAGGATGTAGAACAGGATTATCAACACGAGCATTGTGAGGATCAGTCGTAGGGTTAATAGTAACATTCCTATGC